ACCACCACTTCAATGCACAACCTTCTGACACTACTGCTGATTCCACACAACTGGTCTACCCAGTGCCTCTGCTGTCTTCGCCATGGCCCTGTTTAAGACGTGCTACCTGGGAGGAGTACTCTTACAGAGTACTCTGCTGTTTGGCTGTGGAGCTGGTCAGGCTGGGATGTCTGTGGCAGGGGAAGGGGAAAGGACACACACTCAGGGCGTAGTGGCCACAGGGAGTTTATAACCATAGTGTGTACCTGGTGTGCTGCAGGTCAATACTGACACAAATCAGGACATGCTAGGTCAGAGAAGGTAGCCCATTCCCTTCATTCTTAAAAGTTGTTGAGTCAGGGCACCTTGCTGCTGCACATCCCACACATCCTACTGCCAACAGAAAGAGATTGACCCAAAGGAAGGCCAGATCCTACTCAGCTCTCCTGTACAACAATTTGTCAGTGTGTCTCCATGCACGGATCTCACAGAAGTTTCCAGTGACTGAAAACCAAAGGTTAAAGGAAGAAGAAAACCATGGATGAGCACTTGCTCCCCTGTCCTTCCGGAACCTCTCCATCTTTTTGCCCTGGGCCATCTCCCATAGCCTGGGCTGTGGGGTGCCCCTGCGGGTGTGCACAGCGTGGCGGCAGGACACGAGTCAGGGCTGCACTGGCTGAGCTCAGCGGAGCGTTTCCTGGAAGCCGCAGCCTGGGCTCTCCAGGCTTGTGTCTGAAGTGTTAGGATAATTTGTGTGACACCTTTAAAAAGCTATCCTCATCAAGCCTCTTGCCAGAGAGCTCCTTGCTGCTCAGGCACAAGGCCAGTAGTGTTCTGGGATGCGCCTGGGACTGGTGTGGGTGACAGGATCCCCTGCTGGTGACCACACGCCACGCAGGTCATGGGTCAGAGGATGGCCACAGCAAGGTCACTGAGTTAGGGAAGCCACAGCGGGAGCCGTGTCCCTGGCAGGAGGGGCACCGAGAGGCTCCGTCTGAGCTCCTCCCTCACTGCTCTGCACGGCATCCTTGCAGCTCAGGTCCCTGACATGCCAGGGCAGGTCATATGGCCTGTGCCCGCCTAACTGGGCTGCTTTTCTCTCTCTCCCTGGCTGATCTGGTGCTGGGAGGAAAAGAAACCACACAGACAGCAAGAGGAAGAGCAGACACTCGCCTTTTGGGGCAGCTTGTACAGGGGCAGGCGTCTCACGGCATGGAGTGTGTTGGAGCCAGGAATGGCTCCGAGTCATGGAACGGGTTCTGTTTGTGAAGATGCTGGCCTCCTTATCTAGGAATTCTGCTTAGATGTCTGATCAATGTTTAGCCACTGACAATCCTGGTAGACCTAGGAGACCTGACTTGCTGGTGACTCTGTCCATCACACCTGCCCAGGAAGCAGGTTCTACAGCCTCTGCAGCTCTGTGCTTCTTCCCTGCTGTACCCCACAGAAGGCCAGCATCCCCAGAGGCTCCCATGGAAGTGGCTGGGGCCCGCACCTGCTGAGAGTGGGGCAGCTGGTAGCCAAATCCTTTCCCTGTTGTCAACAGAAAGGAAAGGGCCATGTTTCCAAATACAGGCCATCAAGAGTGACAGCTGTCTCCCCCTCCCCGCTGGGGTGTCAGGGGCTCTGGCAGACTCTCCCAGGAATGGGGCCTCTGGTCTCCTCTGCTGTAATCACTGGCTGTTTGGGAGACTGTCTCATGCAAAGGAAAGGTCAGTGGGTGAGGGGCAGATGGAAGCCTGGGTCTCCGCTGTACTACGTCCCTTCCCAAGGCAAGTGACCTGCCCAGAGGTACAGTCCATGGTCGCTGTAGTGACTCCAGCCCTCTGCTAGAGTGAACACAGCTCTGGAGGCACGGTGGGGATACTTGGACCCACCTGGGTCTGTGACTTGCCACGGCTGGTCTTTGTTTTGTCACCTGCCAGTTGATGTGCACGTGTGAGTGAGAAAGCAAGCACAGCTGTCCGTCTCAGGTCACAGGAGTGCCTCCTGTGCAAGGAGTGTGTGTGCTGCAGAAGGGGTGCAGTGGGATTGGCAGGATCGACCAGGTAGACCCCTGGGTGAGAGCTGACTGATCCTCAGCCCCAGCCCCACCTGTCCAGGACAAGGACCTGCCACGCAGGTACAGCGATGGCCTTGCACTTACTCCTGAGACCCTTGAAGAAGGCCTGGGTGGCTCTGTTGTTCGTGCCCCTTCCTTGAGACACAGCTCTCCTTGGAGCCAAGCTTCTCACACACCTATGGGCAGGTCTCCAGGGCCTGGGCTGTTATGATCCATAAGTGACAGCTTAATTTGTTTGCAGATAAAGGGAGGGAGCCAAGGACAGTTCTGGAGGAGCAGTGTTTATGTTGGACGGGCTTGCCCGGGCAGCGTGCCCAGGGCCATGCACCCTGCAGGAACTGGAGGCCAAGGCAGGAAGGGCTGAGCACAGAGGTGGGGACCAACCTGGAAGCCAGGAAAGCCAGGGGCGCTGGCTGAACACTCCATGGGTGTGGCGCCGTGGGGGCTGGGGGCGTGCCAGAAAGCTTCGGAGCCATGCAGCTAGCGTGAGGGTGCAGGGGTCGCTTTGCTCTGATCCTGCCTCAGTTTTCTTGAAGTGGGCTCCTTGGCACCCTTCTCAACAACCTCTCAAGGTCTGAGCTTCGAGCCCCTTGCCAGACCTGCTTCTCTCTACCCCAGGGATGACCATTCACCCCTCCTCTGAGTTCCGAAAGGGCCCCAGTTCTCTGTGGGCAGGTTCCGTGTGTGCTGGCAGAGCAGGAAGGCGAGGCCTGGGTATCTGGGCTGAGGCACGGCTGTGGCTCACACAGACAGGCTCTGCAGCGTGGACACCCCTGAGCAGGCATCCTTCCAACAGCCACGTGCCTGCTGGGAGGTGGCACCATCACCAGAGACAGTCCTGGGGTTGTACTGCTTGGGCTGTTAAATGGCTCAGCCCCTCAGGGGCAGAAGCTGGGCTGCTCCCCCCCCCCTTGCTTCTCCACGAGCCCAGAACACAGACCCGCAAGTTCTAAGCTCAACTGCCTGCACACAGCTAGAAAGTGGGGGAGCTGCTGGGATTTGGACCAGACGTGAGGCGGCGGCTTGTCTGGGTAAGCAGCCTCCTTAGCAAACAGTAGAACACAGCCCCAGCAAGGGGAACGGCATTTGGCCTTCGAAGCCCCATGTCACCCAGGAATGCTGGCAATTCCATGACTTGCAGAGAACGCTCTGTGCTAGTAAACTTCCCTTTCCTACCCAGAAAAACAAGTGACAGCCCAAAGGCAGCCAGCAGGAGTGTTCGGCTGAGCACGAGGCAGGGCGATGGAGGAGCTGACTCGGAGCTTGCCTCTCAGGGCCACCAGGCTGGGACGAGTCCATCCACCTGCCTGCGGCTGGCCACTAGGCTTCCCTGAGTTTGGGATTTCACATTCTCTCTTGGGGAACGTTGATTCCTTTGCTGCCACGGGGAGTCCTATGGCAGCTTTGGGCACTGGGTGGTGGAGACTGTCCACACAAAGCCATCTGTCATTTTGCAAATACGTCATTTACTGTTCCTGGAGTCTGTGAAATTGCTTGTAAATGTTGAAGTGTGACTATGCATCATGAGAGCAGATGATATAAAGCCCCCTACTGTTGGCGATCTGAGAGTAGATACACAATCAAACCTTCTTAGTAAGCAGCATTTTAAACAGCACGGCACCTAAAACCCACGGCCAAGACCTGCAGCATGGCCAGCCCAGTGTACACACCAGTTGTGTGCACCGGGTACTGCACACGGTGGTGACCTGGGTACTTGTTAGCGTTTCCAGGAGCATTAAAAGAAAATCCACCCTTTTGTCTGTGCCTACTGCATTCTTTCTCTAAGCCTGCAGTTGGAGCTCAGCAGACCATCAACCCTTTGCAGGCCAAGGAAGTTGGCACTGGAGAGCGACAGAAGAGCATGTCCCACCTCTAATCCGTGTCATCACACTAGCCTTGCAGAGGAGAAGGAACACAAAGCCCCATCCGAGCACTGCCATGGACCCCCGTGGTATCTTAGCCAGTTGGCAGCTCATCCCAGCACCCACAGCATGCTGTCGCCCTGTCCCCTTACCTCCCCTGAGCTCTGGGCTTGGAAGGTCATCCAGATACACAGGTCTCCCTCATTACTCACACAGTCAGTGTGCTCCAGGACAATGCCCTGCTGGCGGCTGCACAGGCAGCCTCGGGGACCCGCTGAGCTCCTGGATGCCCACTGTGCTGCAGCCCAGAGAGCACAGAGACACGGGAGCCGAGGTGCACGGCCCTGAGGGCTCTGAGCACCCGTGGACAGGCCATACGAAGGAGCAGCTGTGGGAAGGTGTGCTGGCCCCCTCCCCCGAGCAGGCGGTTTGTGTGTATTTTATTATTATAATTACATTCTCTCTCGCTTGCTTGCTCGCTCATTCTGGCCCACAGATGGTGCTTAGATGGCTCTGCAGGACTAAACTGCCCCCCATCAGAATTTCAACAGTGACTGCCCTGGGAGAGGGGGTTCTGTGAGGTGAGTCCCACGGTGTGCAAGAGGCGACCAACTGTGTCCGCTCCTGTGTATATGCAGGTAAAGCAAGGTGCTGGCTGCTGGAACGCCAAGAGACGCAGGCCCCTCCCGCCTTCTCTTCTGCAAGCCCCTCTGGGCTCAGGGCCAGCTCAAGGCTCCCTGGTTGGAACCACACAGACCTGGGGAGAAAAGTTGCCTGGTGCGAGCCTCGGCAGTAGCACAGGAACCCTCTGGGGGAAAACATGGAGCCCAGCGCGACAGCAAACACCCAGCTCCCACCACAGACCGCAGGAATGCCAGGAAAAAAAAGTTTTGCCCGAATTCCGTTTAAATGCACATCTTTCCCGAGAGCTAAGATTCGGCACACAGCGCTGGCTGCTGGAGCCCAGATTCCCACCGATGCGCAGACCCGCCCCCTTCTCTTTACCTCCAGGGGCTCTCTGCGCACAGCTGCGCACAGATACCCACAGGGCCCCGAGAAGAGAAACTCAGGGGCGCGGCAGCCTGCTCCCCACTCACCTTCTGAACTCCAGGGCGAAGATCCTTGGCCATCTTGGCCATCTTTCAGGAGGCGGGGAGCGCTGGGCTCAGGGACTGTGCACGGCGCTCCGGCACAGGTACCGGGCGGGGTTGTGGAGCTCGGGGGGGCCACAGTCGCACCGCGCCTGGGAGCTCTGCCGGGCGCGGACGCCGCTGGGCCACTTTAATCAGCGAGCGCGACTCCCTCTAAAATCGTACCGGCCAATCCGCGCGCGCGGCCTCTCCTGGCCAGCCAATCACAGCACGAGGTTGCCCAGCCCCCGACCCACTCTCCCGCCCACCCTCCAGGGCCAGGCCGATGGCTGGGAGCCCAGCGCTGGGCTGACGTCAGGGTGGCCAGCGCAGTCCGTGCCCACGCCCTTCTCCTGGACAGGGCGGGACTGCGATCCTTTCAGGTCAAAGGGAGATCAAACGCGAGGGCTGAAGTATTTTTAGTAAGCTGGGTCCAGAAATAGAGGCTGAGTAGGGATCCCCTGCCCACCCCAGGCCCGACTTGCTGGCATGGGGCCAGGTGATGCCAGAGACATGGTTGCTTTTTACACGAATTTTCTCCAGGTGTTGGGGTACCTTCTCCCTGGTTGCTCTGGCCATGCACTTGCTTCTCTCACTGTAGCCTCATAGTGACCCCTAAGAGGGGAGTGGTCACAGGGGGTGTCCCGTGTGCACAGATTCTTCAGCGAGGCCCGGGGCAGGATTAATGATGGCAGACTTGGACATTGGCTATCTGTGGACAAGTTGGCTTCTGGCTGCCCTCCCTATGAGTTTGTGCCAGCCTGGTGCCTGCCCTGTCCTGAGGTCAATCTTCTCTGGCAGCCCCAGGGGCCCTGCCGGTTGTCTGGTGTTGCCAGGGGTCCCCCAGCCAGGAACATCAGCGATATAAGGTCCCCCTGGGGGCAGCTTTGCTGGGGGTCCTGGCCTGCAGCTTCCTTTTGAGGCTCCTTTTCCCTTTTCTGGTTTAGCTCTTGATGCATCCTGGTTTCTGGCCATCCCACATCTTGGCCTGGGATCCCCTTTGCACATTCCCATGGAAAAGTTTGTCTCTGACTCACCTTTTATTTATTTATATTGACGTATTTATTTTAAGATGACATTATCTATTTGAAAGGAAAGGCAGCTCTTCCATCTGCTAGTTCACTCCCCAAATGGTTGCAGTGGCCGGGGCTGGGTCATTCAGAAACCAGGAGCCAGGAACATCATCCGAGTCTCCCACGTGGGAGCAGGGCCCCCAGCATTTGGTCAGCTGCTGCTACTTTCCCAAACACCTTAACAGGGAGCTGCGTTGAAAGTGGAGCAGCTGGGACTTGAACCTGCACTCCTGTGGGATGATGACATCGTAGGTAGATGGCCTTGTTTCTTTCTTTCTCCTTCTTTTAGGATTTACTTATTTTTATTGGGAAGGCAGATATATAGACAGGAAGAGAAACAGAGAGGAAGATCTTTCATCCTCTGGTTCACTCCCGACATGGCTGCAACAGACGGAGCTGAGCCAGTCAGGAGCCAGGTGCTTCTTCTGGGTATCCCATGTGGGTGCAGGGTCCCAAGGCCTTGGGCTGTCCTTGACTGCTTTCCTAGGTTGCAAGCAGGAAGCTGGATGGGAAGCGGGGCCGCTGGGCTATGAACCGGTGCCCATATGGGATCCTGGTGCATGCAAGGCAAGGACTTTAGCCACTAGGCTACCGCACCGGGCCCTCTTTCTTTTTTAAAAGGCTATTTATTTATTTGAAAGGTAGAGTTACAGAGAAAGAGAATCAGTCTTCTATCCACTGGTTCACTCCCCGGATGTCCACAATGACCAGGTTTGGGCCAGACTGAAGCCAGGAACCAGGAACTTCTGAGTCTGCCGTGTGGGTTCTAGGGCCAAAGCACTTGGATGATCTTCCACTGCCTTCCCAGGTGCACTAGCAGGGCCTGGATCGGAAGTGGAGCGGTGGGGATCTGAATCCCGCCCCATGTGGGATGCCGGTGCTGGCACTGCAGGTGCACACAGCATCGGCCCTGGGGCCTCTTCCGTGTCGTTCTGCTCCATTTCCTTTCTTTGCTCACTTCCGGCTTTAGTCCCAGCACCTCTGTGTGACAGAGACCAGCATGCATTGAGTGACTAGCAATTGTATTCTGGCCTTGAGTTGGCTGGCAGTGAGTGAGCCAGCAAGGCAGGGAGAGGTGGTGCTGTGGTCAGCAGCTTGGTCCTAGCAGGCCTCTGACGGTTGCAGAACCTGAATGGGTACTAAAGCAAGAGTAGCTACGGGCTGCGGGGGAGGGGCGGCCTCGGTGTGAGTGCTCCTTTCATGAGCAGGTCCTGGGAACCTGTGCTGGACCAGGCTGCCTGGCCAGGAGCAGCCAGCGGTGTAACAAAGGCCGGCTTTGTGCCTTGCACCGAGGCGAGAGCCTTCCCAGTGAGGTCATTTCCCACTCCTGGCCCCGACACCCTTCTTGCCTGTCTGCAGGGATCATTGTGGAATAATGGCTGACTATGTTCACTTCACCCCCTTGCCCTCTTAGTTCTACCTGTGCTGCGTTTGCTTCTCAGAATGCGCCGACCGTGTGGCCTGTTCCTCTCTTCTGGAAGGATACGGGCAGTGACAGGGAGTTGCCCGCCTGCCTGGGCCAGGCAAGCCCTCTCCCAGCTGCCGGAACTGACTGCGGCCTTGGAGCCTGTGGCTTGTCCTGCACACTCAGCAGGCCACCTGGGCACGTCTGGGCCAGCGGTTACTCTTGGGGCCGTAGAGGGAAACCTTAGCTTCATTTGAGCTCTTTGTCCTCCCCACTTCCCCTGGGAAGGAAACAGGGTGGTTTTTGCAGAGGTCTGATTTTCCCAAGATCCACTGCTGGGTGGTTCTAGGGCTTATTCCTCGGCCTTCATTCCTCTACCAAGCTGTCTGGACACCCACTTTAAACTAGACCTGGTGCTAGGTCAGGGGACGTCTGGGTGATGAATAGAAGGAATCCTTCCCCTTGGGAAACCCTGGGCCTGTCTGGGCGACAGTGCTGGCACCTGCTTGAACTCAGAGCCAACCTGTCTCAGAGAATGAGAGCTGTGAGCAGTCAAGGGCTTTAGACAAGGTCATGCGGCTGGGGAGCTGAAATTCAATCCCTTCACCCTTGGGCACTGCCAGGACTGAGCGGGGCTGATGCCAGGGGACAGGGAGCATCTGGAATCGCCACAGTCCTGAGTGGGTCCTAACCAGCTTTTCTGGCTCTGAGTCTCCCGCTTTTCTCACTGTTTGTGAAGGAAGAGAAGGAGGGAGGGAGCAGGGAAACTGACTTGGACTCTGAGCTGAGGCTACAGCAGTGCCTGAGACAGGACACAGGTGCTTAACAGGTGACCAGCCCCATGGATGAGGTCTTCAGGATGGCAGGGCACCAAGGAGGACACAGGGTGGTCCTGGGAGGTCCAGCAGAGTCACAGAGCAGAGAATATTCCAGGAGGTGGGAGTCACGCAGTGACCCCAAGGCAGGCCTGGCCTGCTGGGAGGGAAGGGTCCAGATCGCACAAGGTGCTGTGAGCCACACTCGGGTGTTTGGATTCTTTGAGAACAAGGGGGCTGTGATGTCCTCATGTCTGCCACATGGAGCACAGTGCAAGCCACGCTGGCGGTTCTGAGCTTGGTGATATTTGTGCTTACAAACTTGGGTTTCACCCAGCACCGGGACGACACTGTCGTTGCCCCCAGTGATGGATGTGCAAAATGTTCTGGTGTTTTCTCAGTGCGACACTGCGAAGCCTGGTGCACGGGTGGTTTGGCTCTGTTCAGCTCAGCCCAGGAGTCAGGTGTCCCTAGTGGCCCCCAAGTGGCCAGGGCAGTGGCAGAGGCGTGAGCAGGGAGTGACAGTGTTTGACTGTGTGTCTCATAGGCGACACCAGGAGGTGCTCACGGAGCCCCAGGCAGTCATGGAATGGAGAGGTTGGGAACAGAGAAGCGATGATCGGCTGTGGGATTTGGCCAGAATCACGAAGCTGGAAGGGGCGAGGAAAACCTTGAACATAAACCTTTTGGTCTCGTGCCAGATGCTCTCATAAATCTCCAAGGAGCGTGGCTCGCAATGACATTTTTATTGTTACAGTATAGCAAGCAGGCGCAACTGGTTTCAATGTGTGAGTGTGAGGGATGGCTCCCAATTGCTTATGATTGTTGAGGCCATACTGTGTTCATTAAAAACAGGGAACACTTAAGGCCTGGCAGATTCTTCAACTGATATAAATATCCATAGGCCACATAATGTGTTCAAATTTGTATCAACTTGGACCATCATTTGTACCATATGTGTCAGGCTGCTTTGAAAAGTTGGTAGGAAATGGAAGTAAGGAAGTTTATTTCAGTACAGTTTGAGATCCATGCAGTGAGGAGGGTTTTTCCAGATGTTCCTGGAGAATACCTATGAGAAAAAAATACATGGATTTCAAAGTGTATTGTACCAAAATCAATGTATATGTTAGCTTTTTCAGTAACATTTATGTATTTATTGGCAAGGCAGATTTACAGAGAGAAGGGGAGACAGAGAGAAAGATCTGTCTTCTGGTTCACTCCCCGTGGCTGTAGTAGCCAGAGGTGAGCTGATCCAAAGCAGGAGCCAGGAACTTCTCCAGGTGTCCCACATGGGTGCAGGGTGCCAAGGCTTTGGGCCATCTTCAGCTGCTTTCCCAGGCTGCAGGCAGGGAGCTGGATGGGAAGGGGAGCAGCCCAGACACAAACTGGCACCCATATGGAGTCCTGGTTTGTACAAGACAAAAATTTAGCCACTATAAACCATTGTGCTGGGCCCCAGGGTAAGTGTTAGTTTGGAGGTACCATTATGTGTGAATTGTTCATGAGTTAAATTTTTTGGTTTACTGCCACTTTTTCAGGAACTTTAATTTGGGGATACTTGATTTTCTCCATAGTGTAGAACAGCCTTGTGTAGGATTGAGGCATCTGCTTGTTGGTCCCGAGCAGCCTCCTGTGGGGGAAGGTGAGGAAGCAGTCTGCCCACTGTGGGATGCCATGGATCGAGACGCCCCAGACCCGCGCTTTGCCCCTGGACTG